CATCCCAAGTAACAAATATTCAGACACAAGCTTCTAGATATCATGATTTAATGCATAGTTTGCCAAAGATCGAAAGCAATCTCAAGCGAACATTAATAACTCAACGCCGAAATTGAAAACATACCGAACTGTGTATCGCCTGAAAGTCGAACGGGCCTAGTCTGGCGGCTACATTGCAAAATGCGACGGATGTTAGATTATCTCAATAGGAAACTCTAGCTAAAGGTTACGGCTACATTCACTTGGTGAGTTCCAACTGAAATGAAGTGGAAGTAGTGTTGTTTTAGACTTACAAACACAACTTCCTAACAACGAGTCCCTGGTTCGTATCTGACTCCACCAACTTCCGCAACCACCCTTATACAATAAGCATTGTTCTTAGTCCAGTGCACAACCTTTTACTAGGTATCCTAGTTAAATAACTAATAGTTTTCACATCCAAAATGGACAACTATTTACCCGATACCTAGTCAAAGTGTACTAAATGACTACTTAATCCACCAAGGAAATGGAAGATAAAGCACATATGAAACATCTCAGCGATAGTGAAGTCAGGTTACACCATCTGACCGAGGTCTCAAATTTCAGTTTCAAACGTCATCCATGCACAAAAGATTATTGCAATTATCTTCGGCTGCTGTTTCACTTTCGTTCATCATAACATTCCTTAGACACAAGCTTCCTTAATATCGACAAAACTACAGATGAAAAAACCAATCTGATTACAATCTTTGACTCCCATTCCATTTTGAAAATGTATTTGCTACTAACTTGACCTGTTTTAATGTCAAACAATTTCATTTTATAACCGTGGAACCTGATGAGAACTTACTCGAAACAATATTCTTCGTTCATATATTCGTTACACTAATTAAAAAGGAATCTATAAATGCTTGAAATCCTATAAAATAGACAATCTAGGAATTATTGAGTTATACGGAATGCTACTAAGACACTATGTAGACATAAGCAATCAGTGCACAGAAAAGCTATAAAACTAGTGACACACAGCTAAAAAACTAGGATGCAGATACATACCACTAGTGGCCTCAGGTACTATTACTGATTCATCTTCTGTAGAATCCCATATAGACTCGTCATTCACCGGATTAGCCATAGTTTCACGTTGCTACAAAATCGTTACATTACACAATTCAATATGAGCAATAGAATACTATGGGAAATAAATAGTTCCTCAAAACAACTGAAATCTGGAATCTTGACTCACTTGTTCAGTCATGCAATATCACTTGCTGTTATATAATAAATGAACGAGTGAATAGTTGTCAAGTGAAAACTCAAGGTCCGCTCAGCAACTTTGTGGATAGTCGTGGAGTAAGCAGTATGCCACAACTACGATGTGAAAGCTAATGGTACTATCTCGCTGTCCAAACCTCAATAGGTGGAGCAGTGTTTGAAGCCATGACGCACTGGTTGAAAGTCAGTTCCTTTAGCCAATAAGCTAAGACTTCAGTACATGGTTGCCGAGTTACTATAATTGTTTACAAACAAAAACAAATGAGAACGGAGTTGGAACTCGAAGATTGGTTACTAACCATTCATATTTTTCTTTAAAAAGGTTGTGCCAGGATAAAGGAATTTTTACATCACACATCGTATTCAAACGTATATCTCAAGTGAAAAGTTTTGATATCTACCATACATGTCACTGATTCCCAATTAGTAGCTGGAGGTGTGGCTGATTAGTTTAGGAACTTGAACGTTGTACCTAAGTTCATTTTGATATCGAGTTGAAGTATTGATAATCCGTGTCTGGATCGCTTTGACTTCAAACTCAAAATTACTTCGAATGAAACCTGGTATGTGAAACCCTACCTAACTACCTACAGAGAACAATATATTACAATTCATAAAACACAAGCAATCTGATTAATGTTGGTCACATTGCAGGTAGATGTTTTAGCAGAAAAACACCAAGAGTTTATGCATTATGAAATCAATAAATTTAAAATGAATGTTTATACGTAACAATAAGAATTTTACGCCTTGGTAACATATGGAGCAAAACTACTGCGCGTTATCATACCCAATAGTTGGAATTTTCAAATCTGATCACTAAGTTTAGGCGTTCAGCTTAAATGTATTTATTTTAGGTTGAAATTCATCATAGACTGACATCAGTTGGAGGAACACTAGAAACCTGAGAGTAATGGACAGCTGGTTCGTTCTAGTATAGGACTCCTCAGCAGCGCGTACCCATGACCCCGCTTCGGCAGGGTTCGAACCCCTGGCCTTCAGGTCCCCTAGGCAGCACTGGGTGGGAACCCAATGGTCCATATTCCCTACTTCCGTCAGTTCACGATACAGCACGAACTACGTCTAATGTCGTCGTTGAGTAACTGTCCTCATGTTCGACTTGGTTGACTCCACTGGTGACGAGTTCTCATTGGGAGTAGAACATAAGGACCATTGGATTTCGACGCAGTGGCTCAATGGTAACGTAGCTGCCCACGGAATATGAAAGTCCCAGGCTTGACCCCTGTCGAGGTCATGGGTGCATACTGCTGAAGGGTCCCATACTAGGACGAAACAGCTACCCAGTGTACCTAGGTTTCCAATGTTCCTACAACTGATGTCAGTCCGTGATCAATCCCAACCTACAACCAACTAACGAATCTTCACAAACCTCCAGATAAATGTATTTATGATGAAATAAGAAGACAATATATCAATGAAGCTACAATTTCTGACATCAACAAGTTTGACTGTTAACCTTAGTAAAACAAGCGTTCTAGTTAGAAACAAATGTTCAGGTGTTAGTTGGCACCGATTTCCGTTAGCAATGAAACCCCCTATCAAATATACCAATTGTCACACATGGTTGTTCACCAATGGCAATAATGAGTAACAATCACCTCTTTTGTTTCACTCACTGTGCACCAAAATCTAATCAGTTCACATAATCAAAAGGCACTGATAAAACTATCAAGGTATCGTCCTCGTCCCCGGGTGGAATGAAAATTCATTCAACGGTGGACAAATATCGTAAATTATAAAATTTACGAGTGATTTGCAAACTATGATATGTTAAGTCAGTGCTAAGAAAAACAAGAAGGAATGAAAACTCGACTACCAGCACTGAATACAAGCATAAAACAGTCTTGGTAACAACAAAAAATCCTCAAACTATAAAGAAAAGCAGAAATACACGCATTTAAAAAAAACACCATTTTTATTTCAACAACAAAAAACAATCCTAAATACTTTGAGAACTTCTTTCAAAACAAGTAAAACAAAGATATCTAAAACAATATTGTCAATATAACAAACGATTGGAAGAAACAGATCAGAAGGATAGAGGAAAAGATAAGACATTTCAAGTGATGAAGATATCGTCGAAAAGGTATACATATTCCGGTTAGTATACAAAACACAGCTGCCAATAGTTGTCTGTGAAGAATTTCAAAAAAAGACTGAGTCAGTAATGAGGCTAGAGAGAGAGAGAAGGGCTAAACAGGTGAGAAGTATGCAATTAAACTTGATACAGCATTATGAAAACCTACGAAGTTGGAAGTAAAAATACAGGTGAGACAATTGTCGGAAAAAACATGCACACAACATTCCTTCTTAAATAACACACACATAATTATTATATACACATGTATACTTTGTATAAATCCTAAACACAAATTGAAGTCTTAGCAGAATGTATAGTTGAGAAAAAAATCCTATTTGTGAAAAATTATAATGATAATGGTAATAATAATAACAATTATATATATATATATATATATATATATATCCTAATTATACGTTCAAATCTGCTGAAGGCAAACAATGAACACATAAACATGCCTATATGGAGATAAACATGATAACATCTCTTTCCAATGAAAAACGAATTCCACTGAAAGCATCAGAGAAAGGAGAATAAAGAAATAGCTAGTTTATAGAAGTTTATAATGTGGACCAATTCAAAGAATGATAACAATAGTATTAGTTTACTATGCATAAAGAAGGTTACAATAGTTCGAGGTAGTAAACCAAGAGAGAAGTAACAAGAAGCCGTAAGTAAACCACGAATAGTCATTATCCAACAGAACTAGTTGTAACACGGTTAAATATAATGAATACCAAAGAGTTAGAAGAACAGTATTGACATTAACAAAAAAAGTATGAAAAGTACAAGAATATAAACGGATCTGAGTAGTTGATAATAACCGAGCCATGTAATATATTTATGTGCAAGTGTATATATCCAGAGAAAGAGAGAGAGACCGAGCAAACAAACTGATAAAAGTATATCAATACGTTCTAGAACACCTATATCTTAGAAAAAAACACTAAACAAACAAACTTTTTTTTTCATAAAAAGCAATAATAAGACAATAAAATCCTAAAGTACGAATAATTATTCTGGTTTTACTATTTTATTGTACTACTACTTCTATTATTATTGTTATTAGTAGGAAAATATGAATAATACAGTATTTCAAGAATAACCTAGTGATTAGACATTAGGATGATTGGGAAAATAAACAAGCAGTTCAGAGTTATCTCCTTGATACATATGGAAAAAGAAACACGCAAAGTTGAAGGTGTATCCATCTTCAAAACACTATAGAATACTAACACAAAGGCCTTACTATCAATTAAGTATATCCATCCTCAAAGGCACAACAAAACATAATTAATCATACATGATAATGATATTTCAGGCAGTATGAGTTAAACCAGGAGAAGATGAAAAAAAAACTCCTATCTTCTCAAAACAATTTGTAACATTTCTACAAGATGATCATCCTGAGAACAATTGGAAATATTCTTATTCTTATGAAAACGCATAGGGGTGTATATTGGCTGAGATATTGATAATTAGTTCAGAAAAGAAATCACTTGCTTTATATTCTTCTTTAAACACAACCCGAGAAGAAACAAAACTCATCTATTTGTTACAGAAAACAGGAAACTTTTGAGCACTTAAGTAAACACATTTTTCTTTTGTGTTTTTTTTATATGTTGTTGTTGTTGTTGTTGTTGATCAAAAATATAAAAACATCTATACCAAAACAAAAACACAAAGGAAATGCAATTAAAAGGCTTGAATCATACCACACATACAAAACGATATAGTAAGTGTTTCATAAAGTAAAATTAGAAAAATTGAAGAAGAAGATTACTAACGATAAATAACATATACATATCTTCTAGTCACGAACCAGATGATATGGAGAATGCCTGAGGAGGAAGTGGAATCGATAAGAGTCTACTACTGTCGCCCAATTTAATATCAGATAGTGTTGATGATTGTGTGTTAACACCACAAATGATGTTTGTATTCGACTCCTGTACACGTTTATCATAAATCATCATTAACTGGCGTAAATGACCAAAGGATATTAAACCATAGTCAAGTAAATTGGTTAAATGTAATAATAGATTTATACGTAATCGGCGTCTATGAATCCATCGACTATGCTGATGGATAAATTGACATAAGATTGTTAATACTTGACTATCAGAAACTACAAGTCCAGATGGATGAATCGACAGTAATAGAGCATTCCATAACTGCATAGTTTGTTTTTCTCCCTGTAAGATATAATAAATCAACAAAAATAATAGTAATAATAGTACTAATGACGACTAGTGATATTCAAACTTGAAAATTATAGATAGTGGGTGTAGAATTCGATAACCACATAGAGGTTTGTGTGTTCAATTGTTCATTCTTTATTATTACTCAAAATGTAAACGCCATAACAACATAGGTAACAAGATATTAAGCTATAATCTCTTGTGCAATGGACTATGATGGTACATAACTTACGGAACTTGAATACAGAAGGAGTTGGTTGTCAACAATAAACTCATTGGTTGGAAGCGAAGTGCCTGACTTAACGAGCACACATCTTAATAGTCTATTAAGCTGAACATTATGAAGGTACTTCATTTGAATTAGGTAAATATACATAACCGAGCCATATGTCACATTAAACTTCTTAATTTTCTTTAACGAAACATACCTTTATGTGGTCCCAACTACTCAAACAAAATATCTTTGCAAACCAATCACGAAATTATTGAAATGATATTAAGAGGTAAGCGTTGCAAAAAAAAAAACCCAGGGTAAATGAATACGCTAGGTAGGTGGCTGTTACATTAAATGCACCGTTACATAGCGAATTAAGTGCGACAACAAGTGAAGTCGTAACAACATTCCACACTTTGAATGGATGAAGCGTACAGCATATCCTATTTTATTTATCCCTTACAATGGAGGCAAATATAGTTCACTCTTAGCAGTGATGTTTCATAAACTTAAATTTTTGAAGTACCCATTAAGTAATAAAAATATGGTTTAGTGGTATAAACATTCGACTTTCTAATAATGAATCTCAAGTCCAAATTCTGTTCTACCTACTTCAGCATGAGCAATCGCATAGTATCACCAGGTAACACAGGGATACCTTATAACCTAGTGAAAAACATTTACCAGACTAAGTCGCAGTGTTTTCTTAATTGCATTTATAAAAATTTTAAACAACAATGAAACTTCATACATTTAGTTCCCTTCAAGTATGTCCATGATACTTTCATTGTTTGTGAATCATGCATCAAAGTTCTTCGACAACTTCAATCAAGCTCATCCAAATAATAATTTTATAATGAAATACAAAAATGAGGACAGATTCCATTTTTTGGATCTAAGTGTATAAGACGCAGATGTGATGGTACAGCTGAGAAAAAACTATCCACTGGAAAGACATGTGGATTGGTCAATACCTTCACTACAATAGTTCCTGTCGTGTCAGCTATATAAGCATGGTTTAATCAGGATGCTATTCACTAGAATAAAAACTCTGTGCTCAAAAGACAAACAAGAAGAAGAATTCGATATAATTAAGAAGGCTCTTAGAGAGAATGCATATTCGAAGAAATTCATCATGAAGCATCGAAAAGAATTTATTGAGACCAAAACATCCAGCTGTTGAGAAGATGTCTGTTTTCCTTCGTCCAGTAGTCTAAGGTGATGAGACACCTGAAAAAATAAACAGAAGAATAAAAGCTGCACTGAGGAGCTTCTCTGCTGCCGGACCGATCTTAGTTTACAATACAGTATGCTGAATAATACAGTCGAAGGTAGAAAAATATCCATCTCACGTCACCTACAACTGTATATATCAATTCAACTGTGCTTGTGGAAGTACATATGACGGACCGAAAAAAGATCGTCTACTCGCTTTTATGAGCATACTCCCAGAAACCTGTATCTAAAGGTAGCAAGGTCTTTAAAAGCGCATTCACTAGGCATCCGATGGAAACAGGATATCAAATAGATATTTCTCAATCCTTCAGGATAATCAACAAACAAAGAACGCTGTGTTTATTACGGTTTGTGGAAGCTCTCACCATTAAACATTTTCAACCTGACCTATGTACTCAGAAAGAGAGTGCAATTAACCTTTCTTTACCTTGGTAACTGTATATGATTTTTGCGCGTATGTATGCAGTTTTCCTTTTTTGATTCCACCATCTCTTCATTAACTACTTACTGATTGTTAATCACTTAAAGATTTTCCAGTTTTTCATATAATTACGTAACTTACTAGCTCTTGAACAGTCCCTTCTTTGACATTCATTTTTGTTTCCTATCCCCCCCCCACTCCACAGTTCATCATTATTACTAATGCTTCATTTCAACTGTAGGCTGTTTCCAATTGATGAAAGGCTGTGAAATAAAATGAGCTCATTTTATCCTGCAAATGTCTTTGTCCTAGCATTGTTCAACAATGAAACTGTAGTGAACTCAATTATTTTTTATGGTCTGTGTATGTATGTACACAGAACTGATAGTTTCCACAGGAAACCATGGCCAAACTTCTCACCACGGAGTATGTACTCTGTGTAAACACAAACACCTGGTTTTATTCCAGAAGTTACTTGTCACAAAACAGCATAACTAATTGAAATATTAATATTCATTTGGTGGAAAAATGATCCCAGTTCATATGGTAAACAATATCGAAGGAGACCTGATCAGAATAAGTGCTACTTCACACAGTGCAGGTGTACTGGTATGGTTAAAAAATTGAACTAAGCTTTCTACAGTGTTTCTAATCGCATGTATAAATTACTTGCTAATAATCACTTACTAGTCTGAAATGACTATCTAAACAGCAAGCAAAAGAAAAGAAAACTTACTTGATTCACATCAGTGAACTCTTCAATTTTACGCTGATAATGTTGACGAAGCCAGACTGGAGCATCTTCAGCCTCAGAATCTGTGTCAAATTCACAAGCACGAATAGGTTGAGTTGTACTTGTATGATAATAAACACGATTATGTCCAACCACCATAGGTCGTACAGACAGTGTAGGATCGAAAAGCTATGCGCAAATATGTATATGGGAATTAGAGGTGAATATAGAGAAAAATATTAAAAGGTGATCAAGACAAAAACTGAACTAATTGCTTCTGAAAATAACCAAAACTTCGAAAATCTAATCAATTACAAACAAATGAATAAAAACATATTGTGTATCAACTGAGACACCTACTAAACAGTTTTATGAAATAATAATCTGAAGTATTCTATCAATGAAAACATTCCTGCAACAGAATAATATATTCAATTATTGAAACATGTTTATAGTATTAACAAAAATGGAAAGGTATCCTCTATAAGTTAAATGAATTTTGATTTAGAGTTAAGTATTGACAAAAACCTTTTTAACATTATCTAAATATTAAATGATAATCACTATGTCTAACTTGAAGTGTATGCTTTGAAAGTATTATTGTTTGCGATTTCATGGTGTTAATATTTCGAGGTTGAAATAACTAAGCTTTGGTGACAAATCAATTCCTCATATTATTATTATTATTCCTTTGAGTTCCTAGTGGAAAATAGGGATTCAGTAGCACGCCTCCATTGCACTCTCTTCTCTGAAGTCTTTCCAACCTGGCTCCACGACTACCCATAAGCTTTCATTTCTTCCTCACATGATCTCCTCCATGTCACCCTCAGCTCAGACGCCCAACTCGTCATTTCCCATTTGGATTCTATTCGAGGACCTGGCCTGGAGCGTGATGTCCCCGAATGGTCTTCTCAGTGTATGCCCACTCCAATCCATCTACACTTTCTTCCAGTAGATATTTGTTGCGTGATAAGTTCTTGGTTGGTTCGTTACCAGGACAGAGTTCCTTGTCGCTTATTCTTTCTGGTCATTCACCTGATCTTCAGCATAGAGCCAGCGTAGGCAGCTGTTGATGAATGTCTGTAGTTTGTTGGAAATGCTTTTCGTGACACGCCAAGTTTCTCAACCATACAGAAGCACTGACTTGACTGGATTGGTGTTGAAAATCTGGATCTTGTTCTATATGCTGAGTGCAGAAGATCTCCACACTGGTTTCAGGTTGATGAACGCCTGTCTTGCTTTTTCGATCCTTGTTTTGACATCCTCATCTGTGTCGCCGCCACCTGGCAGTTGAAACGATGCTGCCCAGACAGGTAGGTGAAAGAGACAACTTCCTTTAGGTTTCTTCCGTTAATGGTGATTGGTGCTTGTTGTTGATGCTATTGTTGGTTGCGTATCTTCATCACCTCCGTCTTCCTCATATAGATAATTTTAATGTAGACAAGACCTTTCAACGTATAATAATAATATCTGATTTGGTAGAGAACACTACTTTCCTATCACTATCACTAACATCCGTATTATACAACCGAATATTCATCGCAAAACGGATGAAATACTCATCTTAGATTCAAATCTTAATCACTGTAAAATAATATATGGAAATATTTTATAGACCTAAAATAATAACACGGAAGTTAGAGAAAAAGGCTCATACTACGACAAAACAGTTGTCCAGTGCTCACAGGTTTCAAGTGTTTTTCCAACTATGCCAGTCCATGATGAATTTATTATTATTATTATTATTATTATTATTATTATTATTATTTGTCCTTTGAGTTCCTAGTGAGACATACGGCTTAAGTAGCAGGTCACCATTTCACTCTCTCCTCTCCAGTCTTTTAAGCCTAGCACCACGACTGCACCACAAGCTTTCATTTCTTCCTCACACCATCTCTTCCATGTCACTGTCGGGCACCCAACTCCTCGTTTCGCATTTCGATTCCACTCGAGAGCATGACCTGGCTTGGCCTAGCCTAATGGTCATCTCAGTGTATGCCCAATCCAATCCGATCCAATTCATCTCTACTTTCTTCTTCTGCATATTTGTTGGGTGATAGATTGTTGCTTCGTTGGCAGCCAGCCAGCCAGCCAGCCAGTCAGTCAGCCAGGCATACTTCCCTGTTGTTCATTCTTATCATTCACCCCATCCATCTCATCTCCATCTTCAGTATCGGGTGTTCGTAGGTGGCAGTTGTTGATGTGATGTATGTCTGCAGTTTGTTGGAAATGCGCCAAGTCTCTCAACCATCACATAGAAGCACTGACTTACTTGATTTGACTGACACTGGTGTTGAGAATCCGTATGTTGTTCATGCTTTATGCTGATTGGAGTGGAGTGGAGAGGAGAGGAGAAGATCTCCACACTGATTTTAAGTTAATGAATGAAGGCCTGTCATGGTTTCTTTCGTATGCTGGTTGTATTTGAAGTCCTCATGTGTGCGTGTGCCACCTGTAGTTGAGAAGATGCTGTCCAGTTTGGTGGGTAGGTGAAAGAGACGACTTCCTTTAGATTTCTCTCGTTGATGGTGATTCGTGCTTGTTGTTGTGTTTAGTTGGGCATCTTCATCATCTCTATCTTCTCTACATTCACCTGAAGCAATCCCCATCTTCGCTGTCCTGCCTCTTCTGCCAAATTGTCAGTTTTCGCCTGTACATCTTCGAGTTTGTGCGACAAGACATTTGACATAAATCATCATCGGCAAGACCCGAATCTTCTTCTGGGGTCTTTTCATCAGATAAACAGTGTATGCCCATCTTCTCACAGCTCCTCACAGTTTGTTACATTATCCAGTTCAGTCCAGTCCAGTCGACCACAATCAGGAAGATGATCGGTGATGATGATGATGGGCGGCAACCTTGTCTTACTCCTTCCTTTCTTCCCTTCAAAGGTATCACTGAGCTTTCCATTGTGTTGTGAATCACTGCGTATGTAGCAGCCTCATATAGCATATAGCTGCTGTTGAATGAGGTTGATAAAGGTTTATGGCACTAAAAGCGTAGTGTTGAAGCAGCTGTGTGGCAATTTACTTCTCGGTCGACGCTGTCGAAGGACGTTTCAAAATCGACTAAGTTGAGGTTAAGATCCGGTTGACTGACATTCTGTGTTCTGTTCTATTGACGCGTAGCGTGGCGTTGCAATTTGATTTGCACACGATTTGTTCTTCGTGAATCCAGCCAGTCTATCCCGGTTGTAATTTTGAGCCCGAAGCATTTTTTAGTATTTAGGACTTGAAAGCAATAAATCTCCACAAACCTCAAAAGTAAATATAGATTTCGTTTCTTCACTGAATTCCAGTATTTGTACTGTGAACGCTTCTTCCATTATCAGGCTTAATAAAATCATCGGCACTAATCTTAGTATAACTGGAAGATGTTCATGAATAATCACGTAGTTATTTTTCTGATTTTTTATTTTGTTCAATTGTAGATAAGAGAAGAGATTTTGACTAAGAATTTGTTCGACCTTAAATTTCATTGCGTCACATTGTAAATGAATCTTTGTTGTAGCAAAATAGTGCTTTGTTAATTTCACTAAACTTCAGGTAAAAAGTATGACTAATTGGCTCATTTGGTTTGCGGAGTTGACTTTCAACAAGTGGGGTTATAGGTTTGAACACCGCTCCACATACCGAAATTTAAACAGCCATAATAGATGTGGGACACTGCCTATTGCATGAATATGCACAAGGTTGTTGAATAGATGTCGATGGAAACTTTATGACTAAACACCAAAGTTCAGCAAAACACCAAACAATTCCCATCATCATCCTTAGCTACAAACCTTTTCTGCGACTGCAGATGTTCCATGAGATATTGCGTTCACTCAACAGGAAATGTTATAACTACTGAACTGATATTTCTTTTTACAATTTATCTGGAAAACAATTACCTACACATCCAGAAAGCACCGAGAGTAATAATGTTACAAGATTTTAAATGGTGTAATGAGAAGATTTAGCTAAAAGTATATTGGGAGGTAATGAATCTGAGTTAGTTTTGAGTCGTACTAACGATTTCGTTTACACACCAATCTATGCTATATTAGCAAACCCAGTCACAAAGCCTATAGCTTTTGGCAGTCTACGCTTAGACTTCACATGTTGCAATCTATGCCGAACTGACCATTCTGAGGGTCTCTCATCCTGTTCATTTCACCAAGCAATACGTAATACTGCGACTTATTATGGCTGAACTTATCACCTACATAGATGGATATTAAAAAGTTATAAGCCAACCTACTTTTAGTGCATAAAACCACAAACCCAAACTAAACACTGCCTTTTTTAAGGAAACAATTATAAGTACCCGCAACCTAATATCATCCCATCGTCCCTTGTTAGAAGCCAACATAAACTTCGTTAAGTGGAATCCCATTGAGTGACCATACCAACCAGTCATATACATACACAAACTCATCAAATTAATACACGTTGGTGAAGTAGACTACAAATCCCACGTTATCTGCACTGTACACTCACGTACTGATGGTTAAATTCAGTTGACCAGATCAAAAATGGACAGTCCTGGAATTAAATACAGTGAACGTAAATTGCCCATCAGTGCATAACTACACAAACTTTTGTGTAACCTAAACAGGATTATGAAGATTTATTTTTTAAACTCTCCTATAAAATTACAGAATCAGGCTAGTGTGCGAGTCAACCTAATAGCTGAATGGGAAAAAGTCAAGGAAATCCCTTCAACAGTTTTCTACTTTAGATACCAGATTGAACTTAAATTGACAAATACATTTTCAAGAGTTTTAATTTTTGAAAGTTCTTTATTAAGTATATGTATTTTTCAACATAAAAGTTTATAAAGTGATGAACCACTAACCTCATGAGCTGACCGTTCAGCACCACGCCAAAATATCAAATGTGTATAAGGTAAACGTCGAACAGGGCAACGAATACGGACAGTAGCTTCGATTATGCTGGATGATGGGGAATGTGAATCTTGACCATCAGAGTGTTTTCCGTTACTGCCTGAACCCAAACTAGTCTGATCATTAACTATTTGGCCAGATGGAATGGTATGCCATTGTAAGACACGACTATTTCGAACACCACTACCGCATTTACGCAATCCACAATCATTCGACCCATCATAAGCTTCATTCAACGAAACTAGCACACCTAAGTGAGACCGTGTTGAGTTCCATGTAGCTCTGAAACGAAATCTTGGATGACAACTTCGAAGATGAAGAAGTAAAGCTTCATGACCTATTCATACAAGTAATTGAGAATGCACAAAGTAAAAAGATAACACGGAGAATATTTTCTATAGAAAAAATAATGAACAGTTTTAATGGAATTAAGATATTTTCGGAGACTACATTGATAACAAACTGAAAGTACTTGATTCATGCTTAATTCAAAACATATCAGAAGTGTGAACAATCAAACCTAAGATTGTCAGGTCACCAGATATTCAAATGATTGTGACAATTGCAATACCAAACTAAATGCAACTCTGTTCAGAAATGAAAATTAATATAATAAATATTCAAATAATGACTACTCTTATGATAGTAATAATGGATAGTGGCTAGCAGTGGAATCCAGGATGCGCAGGTAATATCGAGGCATCCACACAGGATCCCATATGCCAGTAGAGACCGATCAATTCGGTCCAATCAACGACGGTATGGTATAAAAACAATCATATACTGAAAACTATACCCGTCGCACAAGAAGTGGCTATCATGGCTCGGTGGTGTAGTGGATAACGCTCTGGCGTTTGAAGCGATCGCTCCCGACCCCAAATCCCAGCGGGAAAAACATCACCCACTGGGAAGCAGGTATATCCAGCTGACGAGTCCCAGATAAGACGAAATATGCATCCTGGATTTCACTGCTAGCCACTATCCATCATTACTACAACTAAAAACACAGGAAATATCGGGACATCCACACAGGAACCCATATACCAATAGAGACCGATCGATTCGGTCCAATCAACGACGGTATGATATAAAAACAATCATATACTAATGACTAGTCTTACCTTTGTCACCAGCTCGAGAACAATCCAAATGGCACCAAGGACATATGAGGTCAGTAGATTCAGAAAATTGTTCTATATTGCCTCCATATATAAAACTATACGTAACTGGATGAACCCAAAACAATTTTTTGGATATCAGCTTATTAGACTCTGACATAAATGATACAGAAAGACTCTGTTGTACACGATCTGATAGACTTTTATCTAAAATAGTTGGATTCAAATAAATTGAGTTACAGGTTTCCTTTGAAATTGTAGGATCATGTGAAGTAAACAGTTGATTTTGACATTTGGTTACATCTCGATTATGAGAATTTGTGGTGAACGCTTTATAAACAAAGAAAGTAATACTCTGGTAATAGTATTAAGTAAACAAAGTAATAAATAAGTAAGCAGATCTAAAATAGACAAAACGTTTTGAATGACTGAATTCGGGGCCAAACTTTACAAACACGTAACAGTTTTGTTCCAAATTATAACCCGTACCTAGTTATGTCAGTTATTAACGTTAATGGATTGCCTGAACCTGTTGAGATGAAATGCTTTTGCATACTGAGATGTGATGCACAGCTACTTACAGTGTTCTATCCCAATTATGGTGCATACCTATCGAGAACGTTACTTTGAGCTAATAAACACTCGTGTACTAGAGTTGTCAAGCCAGCGAGAGAGAGAACAAAACTACTTAACAAAAAATGAATTGAAGCCGCAACTCAGTAGTTGAAAGTTACACCACCGAAAAATATTTTATGCGTAAAAATACCATGATTACACTAACCAAAGATGTTTGACGGGCTTATCCTCAATGACCGTCATTTTCATGATACTGCTAGCATCTAGTAACGACAACATAAAGACAATACTGAGGTTCAGAGATATTTCGCGTATAGTGGCAACAGTCATTTAAACACGATAATTTTACAACACTCACTCTTTGGACAAAATGCCTTTTAATCAGTGTTGCTTTTGAGTGCTGATATAGTTTTATAACACGACGTCGCAATGTCCGAATAACATTTATCAGTGCATTTATACCCCCGGAGTTGGGTCATAGAGATAACGAGGTTACCAAGTATGACTAGATGTTGAAACCATTAGTCCCTTTACAAGTTCCTTTGCGTTGTTTACACAGTGGATCTATTGGGTTTACCCGAGCACTTTACAACTTCTTGGCGCTCGCCGATGTATTCCGGCAGGTAGCAAGTATAATGTTGTGTTTAATTAAGTTCATTGCGCGACAGATCAAAAACCATATGTATAGGGATAACGAGGCCTGGTGATCAGAATGCTCTATTTCACCTGAAGCAGTAGTTGCATCTATCAACAACCGGAAAATCTCTCACTACATCCAAGCCATCAGCAGCTAGAAGCTAGTTTAATGTCAGTAAAAGTCTGTAAAGTAGGTAGTACGCCGATCATTAACTTTCAAAAGCACTTAGAAAAAAATTTCAGTTGGTCTAACTGCTGCAGCGACATCGACCTCGTTGTCTTGTACTCAATGGTAAGTTAACACTCACTCATCTAACAAAGTGGAGGTCCGTGACGAACTCCAAGTAATAAAGTGCCATAAGATATCCAGTTTTTTATGGATGTAGATGATAGTGTATTCAGGAAACTGATTAACTTCATTGGGAAGATATGGCAGAAATAGTGTTCCATCACTCCCAAATGACGCTACTGTTGGACCCACCTTCAAAAATGATCTCTGCAATGTACATGATAATCATCATGGTATTAGTCTGTTAACGGTAGCGTCTAAAACATTGGCTGCTATCATATTTTGCAGGCTGTGCGAAACGTGTGAGTAACTGATCTGCAGCGAGTAGATCTAGTTCACTCTATATTTTAAATGCACTGGCAACGTGTGCACTCTCTATCACATGCTTACACACCGTAACATGTAATGCAGACCAATTATTGTTGTATTCCTTGATATTAGAACTGCCTTCAGTACGTTGGAAGCGGTTCAACTCTGGAATTTTGGGCTAGAGACAGGTGTGCGTACAGAGTTTGTTAGAATCTGTACTTCAGCGTCTCAAGTCACGTGAAGACGCATAGTCATCTTTCACCACTGTTCAGCTGACGAGTCCCACATATAGAACGAGGTGTGTCCTGGACTCCACTACTAGACACCAAGAATACCATAACATAGAAAGAATATCTATCCCCAAAATAGACATCAGTGTCAAGAAATGGAGGAGGTGAAGATACACTTCAAATCTTGTGATATGCTGACGTCAAAGACAAATACGTAAATATGGTATTTTGTTATTGATCACATATTTGTGATAAACATTTGATATACAGTACGTCAAAACAATGATTATGGGTCATCAATAACACAATACCAACTCACTTGTATGTGTAGATTGACCTTCAGTATATGTATGGGCATTGTCTTGTCTTCGAGTTTCCATCGGTCGATAGGGTGATGTTATTTGATCAATCTCTGATTTATGATGCCATATAACTGAAAACCTAAGACGTGGCCACCTGGAATACTCATCTAGTGCTTTAGATACTTTAGGAAACCGAATACGCCTCCATTCAATACGACCTGCACATCCACCGTCAGCCTCTTCAGTAGTTGAAATATCAGACTTTGCATCCATAATAGCAGTGAAGCATTTCAATGGAGCACTTTTGCTCATCACCGGATCATCCTCAGTATCCACACCAAGTCGTAATTCATACACACCAGGAGTTAAGAGAAGTTGCTGACTAGTGCTAGAGCTACCTGAACCTATTATGCAGGGATAAATGCACCAAAAAAAGAAAATTGTATTTTCTCATATTTACAAAGTGTAACAAATTTTGTAGTCAATATAAATAGATTAACAGTAAGGACTTGAAGAAACAGGTAGGAAACATAATACTGATGATCAAAACAACACTGAAGAAAATGAAACAAACTGCATTAAAATAATGGTTTCTAAAGTGTCAGAAAACAAAAGTATAAGAAATTAGTGATGGGTAGTGCCTACCAGTGGCATCCATGACGTGCGATTCGTCCTATTTGGGACTCATCAACTAGATGTACCTGCCTTTCAGTTAGTGCTGTTCTGAATCGACTGGAGGACCAATCACTTCAAACGTCACAGCGTCACCCACCAGGCCACTAAGTCACGATGGTCACTCCTTGTACGATGTTATAGCTTGTGAATCTCCGTCGTCGATTGAACCGAATAGATCGGACACTAGTGGTATACGGGCTCTTGTGGGGACGTCTCCACATTGTCGGAGATTTGTGAGCTATAGCATCAAAGACTAAAGGTATACGATGTTCAATAAAGTGTTGTTTAGAAATCTCGCATGTTATCGAAGTTTTATAAAACTTTGGATTCGAAAGATTTGTATTTTGCCTTTTGTTTTTGTCAACTTCATATAACATGTTTGTTATTTCGAAAAATTCCTTGCTTCATAACGTTTTAAGCTGACTGAGTATAGCCAAACTCATTAAAGGATGGACAGAAGCCTTACGAATTTCGTCAAATGCTTCATATATCTGTGGGCAATATGATACATAACTGAGTTAATTACAACCAAGCGCTTCTAAGCAGCAGAAGCATATCGCGTAGCCAGTCATATAATGAAGTCGAAAAAATTGAAATGCACTCAGTAACCTTGTGAACATTCGTGTAGTAAGCAGTGAAGCTACACCTTTTACGTGACGGCTAATGATGCTACACGGCTGCCCAAACTTCGGTGGATGGAGGGCGGTTTGAACCTGTTACTTATCGGTTTAAAGTCATCTCCCCAAATCGATGACCAACAGCACCACAGTCACACAATGGGTGGCTCAGAAACCCCAATGGTGATGTGCAGAAACAAATGCAAGGAAATACAAATAGAGGTCATTTCGGTGTACTGCTAATAAAACGTTCATTTACCTGATAGTAATCGCCTGCATCAGTTTTCTTATCATCAGATTAACACAGTTCTTACGCAGACAACAATAATGAACATAAAAATTTCTTATCACATCCCTGTTACAGTTTAAGCTTTATTTGACTAGTTTCGGTATTCATAGTGCTTCGTAAAATCCTGACAACAATTATTATTTAAGACCCATGCATCTCATTAGCTGAACATATTCACTTGCAAAACCAGTAATGACATTTTTATCATTTTCACTGTCAACTGTATCCACTGTTCGCTGTGATCGGAGACACCTTGAATAGACTACTTGGCATTAACTGAATCTGGCTGAATTTACGGAGATACAATGACGTTTTCGACCATCCGTTTTAGTTTTTAAATCAGTCAGAACAACATCTCTAGAGCAAATTGTACATCACTTGTAGATTAAACTACTATGGGCTTGAAAGCAATCGCTCGGAAAGTCATTAGGCTGCATCTATAACACATACTTGATCTCGGTTACGTTGACAGCGTCAGTTCGTGCAAAAACAGGCAACGAAAACCAAACGAGAATAATACTCTTTCGCCCATAGTTTCTACTGGTGGATAAAGAAGAAATGCATGACCAGTTGAAGACGAAGGTCACTAGAACAATGCCTCATGTGTAGAATCGGTTCTTCTATGAAACAGATGGCTGTCAGGAAAATAAATACAATAAATGATCGCTAACACCTATCCTAAAAATAACTATAACTGATCAATCACAAAGAAGTTCATGCATGTGAGGACTGATGACACCCGGTTGCTCAAACCTCCGTTGGTTTTATGAGATTCAAAATTGTGACTCGCCGATTGAAAATCGATATTTTTATCACTATTTTTGAAGTATCATCTAAGTAACCTTGTAACTCGTTTTGCCTAAACACTTTCACATCGAATTTTTTTGATACAACCGCATCTTCACGTTCAACTTCTAGTAAACGGCTAAACCGCCTTGAATACAATTCATACTTCGTACCGCAGTGAATGCATAACTAAAAATAAAACATTAACAGACCATAGTCTGAATGGATCCGTTTTCATACGGATCTGGTCAAATATGGAATAAAGTAAATGTCAAATAGAAATCAGCTGGGAAATATATTCACAACTGGCTTGTTATATGCTGCCCTTTGTATAAAAATACTGGGTCAACTTCTAACCTAACGAACAATACTGGATGGTTAGTTTATGCTGATAAGATGTAGTCTTCGTAATGAGTAAGAATGTTTGGGACGCGTTTATCCTAAAGGTAAAGTACTACCTCAGAACTGGTTGATAACTAAGAAGCTCTAATTCTTTAAATTCTTCAAAATCAATTAGCTTACCGAAATCAATTGATGGTACGATCAAAGGCAATGGAGCTGTAACATAATGAACAGGATACGAAGCTGAACTCAAGCCTCCTTTGCGGGACGGATTGCAAATGATACGTGTTTGACTTGCATTTTTTACGTCAATATTTCCTTGTGATAATGATTGAGGTATACCATTGTGGTTAGTGGGATTTGCGACATGGTTCAAAGAACCGTTCAAGATATTTTGATTGATTCCGTTGAGACCAGATAAACAACTTAAATTTGGACGCTTCAGCCAACGTTTTTCAACAGCGGAAACACGCAATTCCAATTGAGCAGCGGTTATTCTGCCACCAGGTGTATTCCACTTGGCTTGATCAATTAAGTTGGTTAGGGAGAAACGACAAGTACTGTTACTGTCTGTCTGCAATTTACGTTTGTCTTCTTTTTCAATGCTGTTTGAAGTAGGTAATGAACCTGAGTTAATTAACGAACTGACACCGGTTGAATGATTATAGCAATTCATTTTAATTGAATTGGAAGTTATATTCAAAAGTGTGTCATCTGGGCATATTTTTCTGCGCCAAGCCCAACCAAAACGCAAGCGGACATTAACAGAAGCCTAAAAAACGAAATATCCACATATTGTAACAGGAGTAAGGGCTGATATAAACTAAAAACGACTTCATCTGACATATGATACAATATAAAAATCGCTTCATCCAAATAGTCGACAAAGGTTTGATGAACTATTTTCAACGTCAAAGTCACTTTAAACCCCAGATAATTGGAGTAATCAAAACGTACGATAACTTCGTGCTGCAGCATGAAAACACCATTACACATTATTGCAAATCTAACAGTACTACACCAAGTTAGTCTAGTCTCCTACTAAAACCTAAAGGGTTCTGACATGCTTGATGTGGCAGGTGATTTCAATGCAAAAGAGAGTAGACTAAGACAGAAAGGCACTCTCAGAAACTCAACCGAACGATCAGACAACCAAGATCACCTCCTACAATTATGCTCAGACAACCATCTTTCTCTGGTCAGCACAAACTTCAGACATAAAGAGAGACATTCTCTGACATGTTCACCAAACTCAGTTCAGCAACGGAAACAGACAAGACAATGCAGCTATCACTGAGGAAGGGTTAGTGGAAGATGGCACCTCCTTCTGGAGCACGTCATCGGATAGTGACTACGCGTCAGTCCTAGCACAAGTATGTCTGCGTCTAAATGGCCAAAGAAAACCTACGGAAAAAAGATCATTGTGAATGTAGCTGGATGATGACAATATTAACGCTGCTTTCAGTGAGAAACTAGCGAGACAGATATTAGAACAGAACCACACCCACCCAAAACAAAAGCCTGGCCCCATCTCCAATGTGCTGTAAAAACAACGTTAATGATCGCAACTGATTCTCAGAAAGAGGTTAGAAAGCACCAGTGAATCTCAGCAGATTCTTCCGAATTAGTGGATGCACACAAACATATTCCTATAGGCTCAGAGAGCAATGACGAGCGGAAACAACTCAAATGTAGACCGATAAAGAGTCCATGCAATCACCGTGAGCACCGGTAGGCAGCGTCGACTGAAGAGATAGTAAACGTAGTAGCGATAGGTAACAGTAGACAATTACTTGGACTGATCAAAGAAACTGGAGCTAAAAGAGTCAGTGTTTGGTGGGACGATAGCGAAGAAGGATGGAATCTGGGATTCACTAGCAGAGATGACTGGGAATATAGGTCGGATATTTTGACGAACAGCTCAACTGATCTCCAGATAGTCTCTAGTTGACCGTTGTTATTTATTTGGATTATGAATGGAACAGAGAGGTTAGGATCACCAACACTTGAAGAAGTCGATCAAGCTGTGATTAACTTAAAAGGAAGAAAGGTAGTAGGGCCAGATATGAACTCCTCTGACTGGACAGAATCACTGATTGTCTCAGTCTTCAAGAAGGGTCAAAAATCCTCTTATGATAACCACAGGGGAATACGTCGGACCAAGTGTTTAAGATTCATGCTTTTATAATCATTAAACGTCTAAGCAAAACTCGATAACAGGGAATCCAAGAAAACCAGACAGATTTCAGACCTGTATCAGCCACATATTCACTCCCCATAAACACAATTACCGATGCTCAATAGTAGATGTATGTCTCGACCTGAAGGCGGCACTCCACTCCGTCGATCGAGAGGTCTTAAGACAGTCTCTGATTGAAAGGGATGCCAGGTAAGTACATTATTCTGTTGACGGCTCTGCACTTGAACAATCGTAGGCGTGTTACAACTTATGGCGAGTTATCAGGTGAGTTGTGCCTATCAAGGATATCCACTCTCTCCATTCTTATTCAACTTTATCATAGACGCAACTATGGTGGTCTCCGTCTTGTCGTTTGACTTTAAAGGGATTGATCTTATTACAGGAGACGCTTTAGTAGACCTAGAGTATACAGATGACAGAAACTTGTTAAGTGACGACGTTAATAAGATGTAGAGTCTTCTGGGCACCTTTAGAATATTTGGGAAGTTTTTCTCGCCACCCAAATACAAATCATTGCTCCAGGACTGATCTTCAGCGGTGACCTATCTAACAACAGGGTGTGAAACGGTTGAGCGTATTGACAGCTTCATTTATCTGGGAAGTTGGGACAGATTTGGTGGGTCAGTAGCCGATGAAATCTTTGTATGGATACAAAAGGCTCGATTGACTTTTGCCAACATACAACGCTTATGGGTAGCTATAATATCCGACTGTCAATTAAGAGTAAATTGTAGTGAGGTACAGTTCGCTCTGGTCTGGTTATGAAACACGGTTATTAAAAGTAGGAGGCACGAGTAGGCTTCAGATGTTCGACCACCAGTCCTTTCGTAACATAGGCCGTGCGTCATGATATCACCATATCAATAACGTGGAATCCAGGCATAGGGTTTTAAGGAGAAGAGGAAAGTCAGTTGATGAGGCTGCGAACCTTCAGAGACTCAGGTGGCTGGTCTTCATCTGCCTCGTCGCACAGTATTAACGGAAGAAGGTTTAGGCTGGAAAAACGCTGAGTGGCAAGACTACATTATCTGATACCTTTCAATTCCACTCCTAACTCAAATAAAATAAGTCATGTATGCCAACAGGTATTGAGACGTAGAATATGGCATCAGTCCCTGAAAACTTTGACTATTGGTCTGAGCCGTATCGGTAAATATAGACTCCACAGTTGGGATCCACATAATAACAGAGACCAGTGACTGGAGACTCTAGGTGGCATAGTTCAGAATTGATCTCAGTGGTCCAGATGTATCCACACATTACCTTCACCCTAACTGTCATACTAAATTCTGTATTTTTTCTTCCTTCCTTCTTTCTTTTTACTACTTCCTACCGATTTCCACTGCTTTCTTTTTCTTCATCTTTCACCTTAGTGCATTCTCATTTGATGCCTTGATATGAAGTAATACCAACTCATACCGTTAAGGAGTAATACCAAGTTCTATGTTGACCTTATCAGTCGTCCCTGCCTGTCTGTGCCAAGTAAGTTAGTCCGAAGAGCAGAAAATGGAGTTGCACATAATCGCCGGAAAGGATTTGCTAAAAATGTTTCTAATAACAATCAAATCGTGGTCAAATAAGCTAAACTAACCAGGGTCTTTATTTACTTATGAGTTACCCAACTGTAAATAATTGTCACACTTTCACAGATCTTTGGAACCACTAGTTAAAAAGAGTGGACTATATATGAAAACCATTATCCAAATATACAGCAAAAAAATGAGTGACAAAAATTATTTACAAGTGCTATGACCAACGTTCACGCTTGAGTCATGGGACCAGAACAATAACAGTGTTCACTCGCCGCTATTGATATACAGCTTTACAAACTATTTACACTGGGTGATGATTGAAAGTGAAATAAAAATTTGGAGCGTGGCCGCATTCGAGCCAGTGACCACCGGGTTCCCGGTCCGATGCTTTACCAACTGGGCTACGAGGTTAGACTGCCGATCAGATTTTTATTTCATTCCAACCCGACTTACCATGTGAATTTGTGACACGCTACTACCGCTTGATCGTGTTCACACTGGCCGCCTAGTCAAGACTTCTCGTTTCAGTCTAAATCTAATTGAATCAGAGAGGGGGAGCATCATATTGATTATCATTCTGACTGAGATAACCGCGGTTTAGCAGACTAGTACTGATACTGCATAGTAACGAGTCACGAATTCACATGGTAGTTGGGCGAAATTCATGGTGATTGGGTGAAGTGAAATAAAAATTTAGTAAGTAGTCGGACTTCGTAGCTCAGTTAGTAGGGCATCGGGCCAGAAACCCGGTGGTCGATGGTTCGAATCTGGTCGCGGTCCAAATTTTCATTTCACCTTCAACCATCACCCAGTATAAATACTAGTCTGCTACACCACGGCTATCTCCGACAGTCAAAATGATATTTTACAAACTATGACAAATTCGACCTAAGGGGAATGCTTAGCATATGTGCTAAATCAACAAAAACGTTATGGAAAAATATCAACATTACATAGTGTAAACAAATGGATAGACATAACATACATAGTCTGAAGAAAGCAAAACTACCCTGACCGTAAAATTACAAAAAACACATATTGGAAAACACTTACATCTACAGTAACCCAATCCAGCTCTTTTTCGCTATCATAAAAACCTTCGAAAGCTAGTTCTAATTCCTGAGGCCATTCACATTCAGTTATTGAAGAACAACACTTATCAGAAGCTTTCATATCATTCTGTTTACAATTTTTTTGCCTTTCAACGAAACGATCCAAAAGTTTGTTCAAAGTTAAACGCGGGACTGAATGAACACAAAACAGTAATAAAAATAACGAGCTGTCACAATATAAAATGACATGTAGAGAAAAGTGTAGTATTAATTTTCGGAGTAGTGCTTTCAGTAAGAAACTAAGATCACTTTGAGACAAAGCCTAGTGAAGCAGAGACATCATCCAAAACAACTCGGCAGATGACTCTGCAATGTGCGAAGTATTTCGGTAGTACAGGTTCCTGGTGCTTGTCTATCAAGCTGCAGACTGCGATTCCCATCAGTTAAACTGATCCGAGCACGGGGTCAGCGTCGCTCACCATTTTCATCACAGATATGAATTAATAATCCCGGAGATAAAATTTTTGCGAGGTTTCTGAGTAACTTTGAAACCAAAGGTCAGGCTGAACGCTGGTGACAATCAGCTAACTCCTTTGCACAGAATCTTGAGCCCCACCAAGAGAGAGGATTCAGTATATATATGACCAATAACAGCAGTAAATTTCTCTTCCTTCATTAGAAGAAACCAATCACCATCCTACACCATCACCGGAGAATCCACTCCATGAATTCATATTGTCAAATGATTCAGGATAATTACCAGTGACTTTAGGGATAAATATTCTGCCTTGATCTACATTATTTGATACCTTTCAATTCCACTCCTAACTTGAGTAAAATAAACCACATATGCCGACAAGTATTGGGACGTTGAAGCAGCGCACATCCAGAACAGCTCAGTTAACGTTTGACAGTCTAGTGACTCCAACACCATGTGTGAAACTTATCGAAAATGTCAGTAGTAAAACACCTGTCACTTCCTTTACTGGTGATCATGTTTCTCAGTAATATAGTTGAGAAAGTATTTTGACGTGTTTCACTCAACACTTAACGGGGAAACGAATCTGACTGAAATAGCAAGTGAGTCGTTCATCTGCCTGATTACGTGCATCTCAACTGTTTCATTAGATTAAGTGCACTGGAAACTTTCGTAAACTCCGCTATATGGGTGCTTGTATATGTATGACTGATAACGTTTCTAAACACATACTGAAAACCAGAGTGGCATAAAAACCTGAGTCAACTTCGGTGCAATCAGGACGTTAAACTTCCTGTGAAACATCAGCCACACAACGCGTCTGTGTGAGCAGTTCTGATCTATACCTGTGAAACCAAACCAAAATCCAACCACCAACCTTGTGAACATGCCTGAAGTAGGCAATATGACACACCCATTGTGTGACGGCTAGTAATACAACCTGGATCCAAAAACCTCGGTAGATGGAGCGGTGCTCAAACACACGAACAACTGGTCCAAAGTCAACTCCCTAACCAAATGAATCACAACTCCACCTAAGAAACTTGACCTCTCCAAGTAGAGGATGTCCCATGACACCGAGTTTTACATCTCCGTTGTCTTTCTACGATTGCTCACATCCCGTCGAAACACCATCCAAATAGTTCTCAAGTAGACATAATGGAGATCGTCATTCATTCAGTGTGGTCATCTTGAAACACCAGCTTTCAGGCTACCACACCGAATATGCACATCTTTCCAGCGGCTTCCGCACCGCCCAATCTCCAATAAAGCTGATAGCCGTTGGAAGAGGAAACATGGTTAGTGTAAGACGTGGCATCATGTATTGAAGGATAATCGTGTTGGGTTAGCATCTGTAGACGCTTCACGATCACCTGTATGGGGTCCGAGAGATCATGCAACTCAATGACTTCAGATGATAGTAGACACAGCTAGCTGAGAATCTAAACCAGTGGCGACCATTATGCAGTTTTCTTGTTTCTTCTATTGCTGAAAAGCAGAATGAAAGTAGTGAATGCTGCTTCGGATTTACTGTAGAAACTGCTTTAATAATCCACTTGCTATTGTTTTCGATCTCTCTTCCGTTCTGTGTTCAATTTCCTTGTGTAGTGCATCTTTCAGTGTACATACAACACCAAGTTTGCGTCTTCATTAAACTTTATTTGAAGTGAGTAGTGCAAAAATAGTAAAAATACTTCAATAGATAGACAATAAGAGAAAGTCACAATCTTTGTATGTCTTCGAAGACAAAGTGGGCTTCAGGATTGAAATTCACACCAATAAATCACTTTTCATCTTCGATTGAAGGACTCAACTGTGTAACCACGACAGATAATCCCCCACATGAAATTTAAACCTGGTACGAAAGTGCATCAAATGACCACACTTTACAACAGCATGCAAAAGAGAACAGGATGGGAAAAGTAATGAGATTAAAGTAGATAAAACAGCAGTAGGGGGAAGGAAATGAATACATGAAAGTTAATGAGAATATAGGAAATTTCCATGATAAAGTCACTTTCTTAACACAGTTATTCAAACGTCGCACAAAATTCCAGACACAATTTAAAGAACATAACAAGAAATCCAACTTACCCGATAATTGTTTACGGGGGGTACTTGACTTCAAATAACTGAGATTACGATTGAGATACAATGGACGATCACGATGACGCTGAGAAAGATACCTATACAGATGAGTCGCAATGGCAAAATCCCGTACAAATGCTTCATGCCTTTTACGTGCAGTGTTAAAATCAGTAGCTAACTCATTGCCATGGGACTTTTTGGTTCTAGAATTTGCTTTTCTCGAAGACAAAGTGGGTCGACGATACTGTCGCTTGAGGTTCTCTCTTTTGTGCGAATGAGTGGTCGAATGAATTGGTTCAGTTGAATTCTTACCAGTAGTAATGGGAAAATCGAAGTTATTCCGTGATATTTCATCGCCATAATTATTTAACTGGGAATTTCTATTTAAAGTACGAAGCCTATATGGTCTTGTGGTGACGTATACAGCCTTTGAACCTCTTCTCGATTTTGGTCTGCTAAGACGGCTAGCAACACGACCATTGAGAAGTTTACTTTGAGATTTGGTCTGAATAAGCTATAGACAAAAAAACTAATTTGAGTTGCTACTACTTAATTTTAGGAAAGCATAAATCATCATATAAGTGAACAACCGTTCAAAAAATTCATCTGAAAATAAATTTTATAGACTGATATTGGTATGTTGGATAATCACTGATAGTAGTATCCAAAATATGTAGATATATAAACACAGAGTAATGTTGTCTTCAAATTTGGGGGATAGCTATGACATATAACCAATACGACTTCAGTGTTCATGTACACTTATCTTTGGAAAATTTAACATGTTTAGATAGAAACATTTGATCAAGCCACTCAGCATTAAAATGGTACCTGTAATTCCTATGTAGTGGTCTGATTTGCCATACTGCATATTAGCACATCAAGGTATGAGGTAGCAAAATTAAACAAGCAAATAAGAAATGTAATCCAAAGTGGTTAAAAGTAGGAAGAAATAACAAAAGAGTGGAAAATAGTGAATTTTGGCATGACGATGAAGATCGGGAAAATGTGTAGATTCTGAGCCATATCGCCTCGAGTCTTTAAATAACTAATACTCATTGTTATTTGAACCTCAACCGGAAATGCTAAATTCCCTACATACTTTAAACCAACATTCAAAGACTTCATGGATGGATGTCTTGTCGTATTCTGACTGCCTTTCTCCAGACTAAATCTGCCTCAGAATGAATTGTGCCATGATGCATATGACAACTGCGCATGAGTAACATACTGGCTGTTTGAGTCGATGGAGATGCACTATCTCGCCGATTGATTCACTCATCTTGCTGAAAATTATCCCTGACTTCTACGTTCCTAACATCACAGTTCCATGACCCAAGCCAGATGGTGACCTGACATACGTTGGAAATGTCTTGGCTACATAAATTGATGAGAGTTGACAGCTTTAACAGATTTACATCTTTCCCTTAAGACACAACGCATTACTTTAACATTACTGAGATGATGGGACCACTGTATATGATGTATGCCACGAAGGCGACGGTGGTCAAACAACCAATCTTTGCATGTCCTCCAACTCTTTTTTCGCCATATTTCACAGCCACAGAGTAGTAGAGAGCTAACTGCGCTGCAGTACACTCGCTCCTTATCACCCAATCTGATATCATGCCGGCGACAATAGTTGGTAAACGCCGAGAAACTCTTTTGTATCTCTATGCGTACACTGACCCATCAGGCACGATCTGACTTGCCAAGTGGGTGATGTGGTCGACGCACTCAACCACTGCTAGATGTGGCACCATGATACACTATTCCTACGGTTGCATTCTGAACTTTTGTACTGAGAAAGACAACCCAAACATTTTCAAATTGCCACTCAAGGTGTACAGAAGACTGCATCTTGTCACTATTTTTTGCACACTCTAAATCCACTAAGGAGTCCCTTGTGAGAAGTTTAGTCCCAGAAATGTTAGACGAGGAGAGGAAGTTCTCCATAAGCACATCCATGATAACATTTAGTAAAAATAGAGGGTGTGCACCCTGGATGGATACCACTCAACATACACAACTCATCTGGTTCACTTCCCACCACAGGCTCTGACACTTCAACAAGTCTTCGAATACAAATCCTTCAACAGCGTAGTTTGCTCATGTGGTGTCCCTTTCAATGAGAATAATTGTTAATAGAGCTAGTGACCAATACAGTCAAGTCCTGCATACATACAGTCAGTGGCGGATGGCGATAAGTGTGTCTATGTTCTAGAACCTGATGAAGAGTGAATATCTGACCGACACCCACTATCAGGTTTGAAGAATATCTGGTTTTGATCATATCAGATGTTTTCAAAATGAGAAATTTCACCATGATTTTCTACGGAAACCGAACTGTTCAGATCATATTGTATGACGTGCTCGATACCATAGTTGGCGTCCAGACTGAGAGCACGGTGCTGCACGTGATGTGCGACTGACTGACATGAATGGTTCAAGACCACTCACACCGAATAGTGGTGCTCGCTAACCAGATCACGGCGACCTAAAGGTCGGTTCTATCAGACTAGCTATTCCCCACCGTCTAATGATCATAGAACCATTGATCTAAGATACCACACTCGTCTGATTTAATCCCCCGTGGTTATCACACGATGATTTCACCTCCTCACTCATTCAGATCAGTCAGAGGGGATCATCGTGTTACGTCCTCATAAGCTAGTTAACACTTCAGCAACTCTAGCCCAAAATCCTAGACCATCAACCTTAAATAACTATGGTACTAGTCTATCTTACCCTTCTCTGGACTTCTCTAAGTCAGACAGACAGAATCAACGTACAGCATCACACACAGGTGGGTCTGCTCAATTTGCCACAATTCACAGTAGTACACAAAGAACATGTGGATAGAGTGATTTCCAAGAGACGAAGTTGTGTGACAGAATAAACAATCTCAAGAAACATGTTAGTGCGAATATTCAAGCTTTAGATGTCAAGGAGTGAATAGATCTACACCACTGTGATCAATTTTCAGCCATTTCACCAAGCGACAGTTCTCAACCAGATTCCTTACGTCTCCAGGACACCAACCAGACATTCTACATCACCCCATACGTCTAAGACCAACAGTAAGAGACTTCATCGACTGTTCCCAAATCTCCGTCTGGCCACCCTGAACCCTCTTCCAACTTAATCCAACTTCCCTTGACATGATTCCATTTTAGTCTGTTCATTAAAAATATCACACAGTGAAACAGTATCATTTACTGGATAACGTTGCACTGTGTGATATTTTTAATAAACAGACTAAAATAGAATTACAATAGACCACAGTGCCCAAGCTTCACTTCTATATTACCCTGACAAAGCACGTCGAGGCAGGCAGTACCTTGGAATGCACATTACATGTCCAAACCATCTGAATCGACTAAGGTTCCCAACTTCATCAGTCGACTTACCTGTTTTGCCTAGCACCCTTCGCCTGACCTCGACGTTGCTCGCACGGTGATTACTCCAAACGCGAACAACGCTACGAAGACATCTGTGATCAAAACCTTATAATTGCTTCTTGTCTTTTGCTTTTAACGGCCATATCTCACGGCCGTATAACAGGACAGAACGGGCTGTAGCGCAGTATTCTCGTCTTTTAATAGACGGTCGGATATTGCACCGGCACCACAGATGACGCAAGTTAAAAAATACCACACGGGCCTTCTGTATCCGAGCTGAGATTTCGTCTTCAACTAGACCGTCCGGTCTGATGGTATTCCCGAAGTAAGTGAAGTGGTTGACATATTTCACCACTTTACTCCCTATCACTAAATTGGGAGTCCTTGCAGCAGACCAGTCCCGCACCATCATCTTATACTTCACAGATACGAAATGCATGGCAAACATACACAGAATTCCGCTCAGAATGTCCACAGTAACCTGCATTTTTTTTAATGTCTTCAAATAGCAGGACAATATCATCTGCATGATAAAAATCAACTAAATGATCCCCAGGGAGTGGGTCAGTCTCTGTGAAGTCAGACGCATATATAGTTATGTCCACTAGTACATCTATGACGAAGTCAAATAGGAACGGTGACAGTGGGCACCCCTGAAGGACACTGCTAGTTGTCATCAATTCATATGACAACAGATGATCACCGTTGTCGGTTCGTTGTCACGGGATTCCGGAAATACCCCCAAGACACCCTTTCGAGTGATCCGGCTTCCCTAACTTGAGCGTTAAGGTCAGTCACCTGCCATTACGACTACATCTGAACGTTTTGCTTTCTGTAGCAGAATTGATATCTTCTCATAGAACTGTAGTCAGTGGGTGCGTAGATGGAAATCATGAATAGACATTGCTTATTTTCGTGATCCCTCTTAGTTCTTACAGATTCATTATCAAACAGCATACAAATAGCTGCTGACTGGTATCCAATCAAGGAGCGCACTTTATGCTCCACAGTTCAATGCTATACCTACACCAGCGAGTCCCCGGGAGCTGGTCATTGGGTCCCCAGATAATCATAAGGTGAATTTTGAAGACTCACTACTACGGTTATATGACATCAATTTAATAACGACACTTGGGTCCTGTATACGCGTCCCACACAGTATACATTCATGGATAGATTCCAGTTTTGGCCAGCGATGCTTGGTGTCCGATTTAGCATAGAGCTGAGATGTCCAAAGCCTCGACATGAAATCGATGGTAAGGTCTTAGGAGACTAGGAGTGAGGTCCCGATGGGTTTGATCGTTCTCAATGATGGCAGGATGAGAGGTCGGGGAAGGCGTAGGGGCTTAATATTAGTATCAAGAGATGAAAGCAAAAGACAAGACAGATTTGATAGGGATAGGTTGTGTTTGATTGGGTTTTGTGTACTACTAGAAGGGTGCGGACGATTCGCACTTTCCGGCTCGCCATACCGTGGAAGGCTAGTTTTTCTTGGGGTACCTAATAAAGGGATGGTGTGTGACGGCAGAATCCAAGGGACATCTGCCTGAGGTCGGTCATACACGGTCTTTTGGCAAGTTTGAGATTTTGGTTTTTTGATTTGGAATCTGACCATGAATCTCTGTTGCGGGCATAGGTATGCTGCGAGGGGTGGAAGTGTGCCATTTTTGGGGCCGACCCTTTTTAACGCTGCTTCCTGTAGGAAAGGCAACATTAACGTGGCACTGTTGGTCACCTAACCGAAACACCCCACTGCTGGTGGTTTGATCTTCTCTGAACTTTGATGTTTTGTTGTGAACGTTTCATCACTAGGCTTATTGACACCCTTAGCACTAACTCCATAAAGAAGTGAAGCATATTCGAATATTACATGAATGTTTAGCTAGTGTTTTTATCGACTCTAGATGGTGTCCAGTTGTAAGAGAACGCCAAACCACCATTATCCTCAATCCTGAGCTACAAATCTTTTCCATCATTTCAAAACCTTTTGAGCGCAAAGTGCTTCTGCGCTCAAAATTGGGAGAACGTCGCCGGTCAGGGAGCTTCCGTTCGAGAGCAGTTTTCCTTCTTACACGAATGTTTACGGTGGGACATCTTTCCACAAAGTGTTAGATACAGACCACTCATCAACTGTCCTACTGAATGGAAGTGGCAGAAAAGTGGTGCGACTAATGATATCTGATGCACACAACAGATTAACGAAATACAAGGTAATTACAACTCAAAAAATATTGGAACCAATCATCGGAACAGACATGATGAGCAAATTGACAGCAGCCATCAATACAACAACTAAGACCAAAGGCGAGAAGAAGAGGTAGAAGTTGGATGATTAACTACTCTAGTTATCACAACCAACAGAGAAGGAATTAGAAGATGAATGGGTATTGAATCTTGCAGAACGACCGCTATCTATGACAATGCGATTTGTTTTAGAAAGGACTGAACAACACTGGAAATGCAAACAAACTTGATTAAATTTTGAGTGGCAACAGGAACTACGTCAATCAATTGTACCTCTAGTGCAAACCAAAGGAAATCAACACCTAATAAACACAAAAGAAAGAAGTGCACCGAAATCACTAATGAGTAACAAAATAATTATAATATTGCCTTCGGATAAAGGAATGAAACCCACCGTCATGATTTGAGTGGATGGATAAATTAAGATATCTTGGATATGCGCTGCTGTAACGTTTCGTCTAATTACCTGTTGGAATACATGACTTATTTTATTCGGGTTAAGAGTGGAATCGAAAGGTATCAAATAATGTAGATCAAGGTAGAATATCTATCCCTATGGTCGTTGGCAATTGTCCTGAAGTTTATGAAAATATAGACCAGTCGAACTGGGTCTTTGCATAGAGCTGAGACTGGAGATTGTTGACCCCAATTTATTCAAGTCGGACTTCTATGGAAGTTACATTTTTCTGCTTAAATTGAATCTGATTTTATTCATAACTGGCAGCTTTTCCTTATATTTAGTGGTTTTATTTCGGTAATGTCGATGAGCCTGGTTTGTTATAATTTTTGAATGTACAAAAGTTACTTTCTTGTCTTTATCTGCGAAAACCAACAATGGATTTGGGAGGGAACTATGTTTGCAGTTTCAGTGATGAAACTATATTCCATTTTAGAATCTTTTTATTACTGCTAAAGAAAATCATTAAGAATTACAATTAAGTTGAAACGAACTCGTGCACATTCATGCAGCAGGCAATGTGCTACATATATTGTGTGACAGCTAATGACACTACCAGTCTGCCCATACCTTGATAGGTGGGGTGCTGGTCCAACTCGTGACCCATCAATTGAAAGTCAACTACCTAAACCAGTGAGCTATAGATCTACATTAGTCTAGCATACGTCCATGAATACAGTCAACTACATTGCAGTTAGAAAAAACATTCACATGTTTTTCGATACGATACACCAATTCGGTATAGTTGAATTTCATTATTCTTTTGTAGGGACAAATGTCAGTGAACTTGATCACCTGCCGAAAGCCACCCGAGGCAATAATTCTATAAATTCAATCTTCCTTTTCTCACGAAGAAACTGGGCACGACCACCCAATTGTGTTATCACAACATACGTTTAGCATACTGTTCTTCAGTGGTGGCCTAACAACAGCTCTACACTGTTAATCTGAAATTACAAAACACTACCAATTTGTTAGGTTTCCCTTGAGATGCCAAATCTTCATCAACGCAACTTAAAACAAGTAGGGAAAATATTCACAAACGAAGTGGTTGAAGAACTTCGGCTGTCATAGAACCACGAATTAACCCATATAACTTACATCTAGAAAGATATAAAAGTCATGCTGCAGTCGATAATATCCTGCAGACGACTCTAAAGGAAGTGTATGTTAGTGTAGACCAGGTAGACTTTTCGATCTTCAGTGCGTGGAAGATGTCATTACACTGTGCAACAAAATATAGGTTACACAAATCCCACTTAACCAGTCAGAAATTAGTATTTTAAGTATGACGATTTTCGCACTATATTTCTACAATATTGACAGTAGCCTGAACTGCATTCGAACTTGGTAGTGAACTGCTGGTAGTTATTGAAAAACGCTTGTATGTCGGTAGTTGTAAGATTACTGATGGAGGTGTGACTGATGAGATTTCGAACAGCACATTCAAAGCCAGAGTGGCACATAACCATCGGGATATCTCTTAGTCCCATCGTGACGTACCTTTTTATTCGCTTTTCTCGTCAACACAACGAGTTTGTTTCCTAAACGTTGCTGTGTTATTTTATGCTGCATTAGTTGGTGCACATATTAAGGCTGCGTTAAAAAATAAAAGTATCCTAAGTACCTCAACACAAGTAAGGCAGAAATTCAGAGTGGTTGATTTCGTTTTTGGCTGTCATACGGGAAAATACAAAACTTATAACTAGGAAGATAATTCCCAAATACGGTCATAAAATGACATTTGATCCTTTCATGGAGAAAGACATTAAGTGTAATGGAGATCACAATTCTCAAATCACTAACAGTTCGTAAACAAAAGGAAGTTAGTGCGCGAATTAACACTTAGTATCCCACCAGATGACATAAAACCTCATTTTCTATCTGGTACAACAGTACAATTTATTAAACATCCGTAAAAATAGTCACTAAAACTTATTGGTAGGTTATGATTATCCGGTCAGATGAAATGCAAATGTGCAAATATTTCTGATAGACATTTAGAATGCACTTTTTTAGTACTTCAAGTGTGAGCCAAAATTTTTTCTGAGTTCATCCAAATACTCTGGCAACCACATGTAAGTCACTGTTTATTTTGATCACTGAGACAGTATTTTAAATTATATTTATTTCAAGCTGGAGTAAACTTGTGTATGCATAAGAGAATAATCAAATATGATAGTTACCTTCGTATACACTTTGCTTCTGTTGACTACAGGATGATTTTTTCTTCTTGAACTCACTGATATGCGTCCATCAACCTTTAGACACTCATTCCTCCCAACCGATCTCTTGGTATGTGAGGTGGTTCGACCTTCAGTAGACCTGTCTTTGGAGGCATTGCCAGACCTGGGAGTTTGCTTCTCAGATGATTCCATGAAGGATGATGGCCCTAGCAAAAAAAAAGAGCAGAAATCAGTCCATCATTTCTGAAATGAAAGGTTAGAAGCAGAAATTGAACTCATATAACATGGGGTTTTTGGATATCTCAATTGACACTGAAGTTAGCTCCTCGCCAAGACACAGACGGTCCTTCCCACGTTTAGTAAGCATTGAACACTGGTTGCTCCTTTGACCAATGTAAAGTCTTATGTGGTAAGAATATCAGGACTAAGAATAAGTTTCGAAAATGCGGATATCACAAACTTTTGAATACTCTGCTGAAGGAAATCTAGGCATGTTTCTGTAGCAGAATTCAACTTGAAGATCATTTTGTGAAATAAACATTTTCGCTTTCAGTTATAATGCAGAATGTTTTAAACTACTGCTACCCGAGGATTCTGCGCGAATCTGGTGATAACGAAAGGCCTAGGATGCGCAACTGGATTCGATATAAGTACATGATAGATATCAAAATGAAGCAACTTATAAAGAGTGAGTGAACTAAAACCTACAGCCCATATCTTTGAGAAATAGTGTTAAGTTTAATTAGTTGATGGGAAAGATTTTAAACTTTTGGTAGCTCAAACATCTCAGTGTGCATTATAACTGCCACAGTCTCCTAAAAAGACTGGAACTATCCTAAAGTATCTACAGACATTTTCACATGCGTCGAAGTCTTGGCTGAAATTCAAGAAATAGCATTCATAAATTCAGAAGTGTAGATAGGTAGTAAACTCAGTGCAACCTAATGACTGTAAAACGATTCCTCGACCCGATACTGGTGCACTACCCGAACCGAGATTCACTCAGCAACCCACAGTCAGCAATAAACCACACCTATTGTGTAACATTTTTCTATCCAAACCTTCGTAGGCAGAGTGGTGTTCGAAGCTGTGACCCACTGGTTGGTAGTAAACTCCCTGAATTAATGAGTCCAAACTCTACACACTCAGGAAATCTGACATTGCTTGTCCTGAAGTTAACCCATTTTAAAAATGTACACATCAGCTATTTTTTGCTTACAACACTAGTTGACTTTTCACCCTAATGCACGCCAACAGCATACTACGCTGAGCATTAAGATAGGTGAAAACTCTATCGTTATGCTCTCGCATTTCGATTTCATCATGCCTCGAATGCTTAGTTTATTTCTGAAATCTAATCGCATCTCTGATATGCACTATCATTCCGTATCTTGGAAGTATTTTTATTCCTGTTGCCACCCTCGAAACGTCTAGAACATCGAAAACACACAATAAGTAGACTGCGATACTGAAGATTTTTGACGAGCAGGTAATACTGCACACATGTGTGCCGAGACTCAACTGGCCGAAAACCCCAAGAAACACTAATCTTCGAGTCATCAATTTGCGAAAGTCAGAGCAGTCACCTTTTGTTTTGTTTAACTAAAATGCATATACCGGGAAATATTCAGCTGGAACTTTCTTCATTTTGTTAATTTTCATGCACGTTGAACGATCCTTCAAGTATCCCAGAACCTGTAACACAACTTCTCTAGTCACGCATCATCATGTCATTCTATCTCACTTTATTACTTTGTACCTCGTCCTCCTTTTATTCACGAGAACAAACTGTGCCAAACATTTCCTTGAGTTCATTGTTTCGTTGTGAGTAATTTACGTAAAGATAGACCTTAGCGTTTCAACCTTAAACCTCTACGAGACTATAATTTTCTTGTATTCAGTTTTTCAGCATTATGAAAGATAAAATTAACAACAGCCAACAGTGTCTTGCTACATTTTACCTACTTTACTATGTACACCCTCAGTTAACCTTATAACAGTCCTATCGTTTATCGATCGGTTGCACAATAATGCACTGAAGCTTAGCATTTCTTAACCAAGCACTGATACAGTTGAGGCATAACTACCTTTAGCTGGAATGATGAAAAAGCTCTTACCAAAACTTTTGGGCAATACTGAACTAGTAGACAACGACAAAACCATCTTATAAACACCGAGCCTATTTACGAAAATCAAGCCCCATTGGCTTTGTTATACTATCTCAACCTGTCATAAGCTAACCAAAGCCTTAAACCTCCTAGCACACATAGTAGGCCGATACTCATCGACACTCCTGTAGGTATATCTACTAGCACGTTTTTAATTACTGATTGCAAAATACTTAAAATTCATGGCAAAATATCAACACTGATGTAGATGGATGATGACCCATTTTCTCCAAATAGCCGGCAATAAACCTTATTAGAAACATTATGGCTATCTTGGCTACTAACATACAGCTGAAGCTCACAGGCAGCTCAAAGCATCTGTAAAGTCAAATTAATCTTATCACATAAACACCGCGTTTTGAGTTCGCAAACAAACCGCACACATGTACAAACAAAGCGTGATTTCCACTTAAAACGCCAACTTATAGGTGATAAGCAAATTATATACAGAAGTGCATATGGAAAAAGTTCCTTTGATGAAACCAAATGCACGAACCATTCTGTCCAACAAAACATAAGGCCCACCGTTTTCCCAATAAGTCTGAAAGCAAACTGAAAATATGTACACAGGTAAACAATAGCATCTGGGTAACTCGTAGTTCGAGAGGTGGCTAGATATTAAAACATAAATATACCACTATTGGCTTGATTCCGAAACTCAGCCAATAATCTCTTTTGCTGTTGAATACTCAACATGTTTAGTTAAGCATGTCCCCTTAAAGTAAAATCACTATATGTGCGGCACTACGTCATCTTACATCTTAAAACTGAAAACCTTCAGCATGTATGCGCTCATCTACTTTTTATCTCACGCCTAATCAACTTTGGTAGCATAAAGTATTTCATCAAAAATTAAATCTCAATTTAACACCCTTACACTTTTAATACTTATGACCATTGAATGAAAGGAGAATCATCCACATTATAATCCACACCCACACACCAATCGGTTTTAAACCAAATTTACAAAGTTGATACTCACAAGGTCGGAGCAAACAAACAAATCAAAACGCAAGTTAGATTAAAGTTCGTGTAGTTCGATGTTTCTGAAAGGTTTTCATATTTCTCTGGGTTTTATTAAATGAATCCAAACACTCTGGTCTGGTGCTAATGAGTTTATCCCAAAGTAGGTACTGGATGCAATTTACGTCTCGAATTGCTTTTGGATGTAGTACATGTAGCAAGTAATCTTCAGAAGTAGAAATTATGGGTTTACTTGTTTCCATTATTCCTTGACATGCATATCGCTAGCCATGACTAATCCCTACACAAAAGTGGTCACAAAACAACATTTAACACTTGGTCCCCTAAAATGCCTCAGTGTCCGACCACCCTGTAAGGGAAACACAAGTTGAGTTGCCCTCTGATGAACTCACTGAAAAGCAATACCAAAGAACGAGGAGTTGGGGGATGAAAGTCTAGAGGTAAATGTGAGAAACAAGTAGTGCCAATATTAGGTCGTTCCAACCACAATACCTCGGGAATATACTTGTGGGGGAAAACAAATCTGAAAAGAAATAGCCTGAGGTTCGACAATTTTCAACGTTAATACTGAGTCCCACAGACTCAACCGACTTGCGAAAATGAAAGTAAATGGCCCAGAGTGGTAAGCATTCAGAATACTGCCATGCTTCCTTCCGCTGTTTGTCCACCAATCCCTCACCAGGTGGAGTGCACATTTCAGCATATGGCCACGGTTTATTAAATTTGTGGCTCATATCTGGCCAACCCGTGTTCTTTTAATGGTCCTGCAGTCGTAAGCATTCGGCAAGTGCGAACAGTCAGTGGTTAGCCTCTGTGTCTGTGAGGATAGCCTGTGACAACTAAATATTCAGCCTCTTCGAATGCTCCCATTAATTTGAGTTTGATGAGACTGTCACCAGCTTTGTGCTGATCCTTACAACGTACTCCTGTCCAATAAATTCTTCGAAGTAAAGGCTGATTTGCTTTGTGCACTACTTTGTGTTAATTCACGCATATGCAAGATTCATGACCCAAGGGCATCCGTCGGTGGATCCTGCTTTTAATGGGTTACTTACTGTCTATATCGTGTCCAGCTGAACTTCAACAGAGAGACCCCCCCTCAACAACGAGCCTCCGTTCTGAGCCTACGCTGCAGTCCTAAGCCCGACAGTGGTCAGCATCCTCAATAACCATGTAGGTGTTACTTGAACTGAGTCTTGCTAGAGTGAATAAACACAACCACGTCTCATCGCTTCCCTACAGCAGAGGTGGCTGGTATCACGGCTAAATTACTACTACTTGGAAATATTGCAGTCGTTAATAAGGATAAATACTGGGTTATGAATACCCCTCCATATCCCTCAGGCTTAGCTAGTCTCTAAATGTCTATCCTGAAGACGGAGTCGTTTGAGTATCAAAAAGGCTTCCTGAGAGTGGAGTTTATGACAGGACCGGACTGGGTAGACCGGCAACGTGTATATCACAAAATCCAACAGCCTTGGGCGCAGAATGTTACCAAGGAGAGATTTCATCAACTCAGTGTTAATCAGCAACCGCAACACTCCCTCCCTTGTATTAAAGACCAGATCAGTAGCTGAGGTCTTTCCCATAGAACTAGTAGGCGTATCTACGTCTCTTTCAGCCGCGGAGACTTCACTTTGGTGTTTGGCATAACACCCAGAAATGGAATTCAAAATCCATCTTCATCCCGCTTCAGAGATATATGGTCTAAGACTTGGGATAGATATGGCATTCCTATGTGGTCTGTGTATTCATCAGATGTGTTTTTGAATCCGTCCGAGAACCCTAGACAGATAAATCTTTATCCGTATTCCACCTCTGTGTCGCAGCACAGACCCTGGTAGCTGGTACAGTCCCATATCATGAAATCAGCTTACAGGAAACAGAACCATAGCCTGTGCCATGTCCTTGGAACTCCAAAACAAATGCAGGATGAAATCCTTTGACATGGGAGTCAAGCAGTAGCGATTAGTGACCTCTCTTTAGTGTGACATAACCAGGTATAATAGTGGTAGGTCACCTTCTACATCAAACGCCATGCCTTTGATTGCTTTGTGAAAAGAGAAGCCACAAACTGGAGCAAGTGTATAACGGCTAAATCACCTGACCCATTTTTAAGCCATGGGTTCCACTCAATCGACGTATGGGGAGTTAATGTCATGCACTTTCAGGCATTACTTGCAAATGTTTTAGTAGTGTCTATAGTTGCCAACGAAATCGCTGGCTTAAAGGAACGGTGTAGCGTGGATTATCACCTATCACCGTGATGTGATTGTGATATTCGATATGTGGGAAGTCTCAGGTTTACGGTACCACACATGCAACCGTATCATTGAATACCCCAACAGCAGCAAGGGAGAGTAGTAGAGTGGCATCCGAATTTCTAATGGCTCGTTTTTAGGCAGCAATGGTTCCTCTAGTCCTAATTCCTAACCTCGAAATCTCACTAACAAAGCTTTATTGGGGTTATTACAAACACTAGAAGGCAACACTCCTGGGGTATCTTGGATGCAACTCAACTTAATCAGGCCTTACAGTCGTTCCATGATCTTATCAGCCGAAAACCCATGGGTCTAAGGCTTTCCTTCGTTTCCTCCTTCTGCATCTAAAATTCAAATTGTCATCTGTTTTATGTTACCCGAAGATGATGGCCCTATACTATTTGTCTGCCGAGCCTATAACAATGATATATTTTTCATGCAACATGGGTTAAATGAAAACAAACCAGTTTACAGGTATGTTAATCTGATAATATGAATTCACTGTTTTGATCACGAACACGCAAAACACTGGATATCGTTATTCAAGGAGTATGAGGGATGATTTTAATGATAAAATAAGGGGATAAATATTTTTTTTCTCAGTTTATGAAGTTGACACTGGAGAAGCCGGTTTACGGGCATCATCGAATTGATAATGGTAGAGAAACCTGAAGGATATGAGCAGTGTTGAATGGTACAGAAGAGAGGACATTAAAGTCTATCATGACACCAAGAGTCTGAAAGTAGTGAAAACGTCAAGAAAACATCACTTTACAGTGCATACATGTTGCTTTAAGTTTGGATCATTCCTACTCACAATTCTTTTTCACACTAAAGTGGCATCAAATCCAAGCAATATTCGATGCTTGTGGTATCAGTAACCGGTAACACATTCGAAACCTCATCGATGATACTAATCATGCCTATTTTTCTTCCCTTTCAGGGTAAAACAGTGAAAGAGTTAGGAGAAGCGGAACAACGAACACCTAGGCTTAACACCGATGAGGACATATAAAAACTTTGTCTGGACTGGGAGATACTTCTTTACCCGCGGAAGTCAAGCTGTGACCCCAATAAATACGGTATTGTGTCATTCTCGTTCTTCATTCGGTCTGCCCGTATTTTGCTGCGAGTCCGCGCATCTGAAACCCACAAGGGTCATTACAGTCGACACGATTGACTCGTCTGCAAAATCCAGTGCTTCGTCAGGGAAACGTCCGTTTTAACGGCAGTTCTTATGTTCATAGCTTTAATTACCGAGAATAACCTACTTCAATGGTTTCAGGAATAAGTCAGTATCCATGTAACCATTTAATCCAGGCAAATATCTGGGTTCAAGCATTTCCCCTCTCCTTCAGTGTTATCCTTCCAAGCAGTTCAGTTTGAAAAAACTGTAAATATTTGTCGTGGTGCGTGTATTAAACATTAGAAGGACCGTCGTTCAGCAGTGGTAGATTCGCGCATATATAAACTTCATTTCATACTGAGGTATCCAGCATTGTCAGAAAGGTACATTGGCTGTCATTTTTCTTCTGTTAGATGGATCTTTAAGAGATAAAGTACTGGAGAAATCTGTTGCACTGCATTATTATGGAAATGTAGCCATTAGTTGCTAACCCAGACTTCCGCCGCATTTGTGACGGCCCCAAAATCGAAGGCCAGCTATTGTGCCTGAGGTTCCGTACGTGGTGGCGTTTAGGGTACTGGTAGACAGCTGGGTTGATTTTAAAGCTGTTCAACAAATAGGAAGTCAAGGGCAAGCCAGTTGAAGAATTCTGACATGAGTTTCTAATATTAAGTTTGAAGTGTGATTTTCTCTAATTTGATACTTTTTGATCAAATTAATGCTGAAGATCCTCTCCTACAAAGGTATGCAACCAGCCCTCACCTTCCATTAGGATCATCCTAACGGGTACGTACAGAAACTTTAGGAGATCAAGAGAGAAACAAGCAGAGATGAGGAGTCTCCACGAACACCTAAAAACTAACATCATACGTGTGATAGGATCCTGACCCCCACCCTAAATTTGTGACAGAGGGATGCATGTCACTCGCATGAAACTCTTTCTCGTGGACACGCTGCTCAAAGTGGGGGGTGTAGCGACTCTTTACATAAGCTCTTGTTTAAAGGTAAGGATGGATGGAGACGTGACTCCCATTCGACTATCGGAATCTCTGCGGTGCCACCCCACCCTCCGTAGTGTCAAACACCTGCTCAGTCACACGGGTCCCCTACTAGCTCCCCTATTGGTAAAGAAATGGTGATCTGCAGCTTACGACCCGTAATCACCGCCGGTGACATGAACACTGCATTCAAGATCCTTCAGGATGGAGGGGAAGCGTACCAGATCCTTCAGTCAGAAGCTGAAGGGCACAACCGAGACTTCTGGACCCCCGGACAAAGTGGGGGATGCCACGTGTTCGGGGCCCGATGGAAATGCATCGGACTAGGGTCAGGTTTTGGCAAACAGTGATCTCATTAGAAAAAACGTCTATCCAGCCGCCTCCTGGTCTCAGTGATCATGTCGTAATGACTTCCTCCATGATAGCTGTGGAGACCGCGGCCAGAGGTACCCGACTCCTTCCGTTGCTACAGTCATGCCAACCATGAAGCCACGAGAGATTATCTCATGAGCGCGCGGCAGACCGGACTTGTCTCACAGTAAACGAGCACCAGACACAGGTGAAGGAAACAACCCTTGG